GCTGGCAAGTAAACTTACAGCGATAAGAAACTGGTACGATGGAGAATCAACAAGTGCTTGGTTCATATGAAATTTCTAACCACATCCTCTAGAGCTCCTTGCCTTGAGGGCTTTTAGCAACTTTGCAGTGGTAACAAGTAGGAAAAAGCCTGAGATTAAGCTGTAGAAAGAATTTTTTTTTTTTTTTTTGGGCCATACATGCTCATTCTTGCTTTATTTGAAGGAGATTAAGGCTTTGTACTAGCAGTAGGGTATTTCAGGTGAGGTTTTGAGGGATAACTTTTTTTTTTTTACTAAGTATCCTATAGTGATATGCTTTTCTATAGGAACTTCTTTACCTTACCTTTAACTGTGGTTTGTTTTGTGTACAGGTATCATTGTACATATGTCCAATTACTCATTTCTTGCCAAAGCTAAAAATAAATTCCTAATTCAGCAGTGAAGAACTAGCACTCTCTTTTAACATAAGGGATATCAGTGCTGATGGGCAGCTTAATCAGATTTTTATAAAAGCTTGTTTGATGTCAGTAGGGACAACTTCTTTTTCCTACTTGTATTTAATTAGCCTTTTGTAACTAATGTTAAGGCAAGGGCTTACGGCATAACATGGTTCCTTCAGGAAAATCTTAGCTATCGAATTAGATCTGGGCTAGAATTTAGCTTAGGTGATACAGATCAGGATAGAAATTTTCAGTTTGACTAAGGAAAATATTTACCTGCAAACAAAACTTTAGTTTTAGTTCTAGTCATGCTGCTTGGTTAAATATTTGCCTCTAATGACACTTGGCATTGTAAACAATATTTATAAATGGAAGGGGAAAAAAAAACAAAAACAAAAAAACCACCAATGTCCCCAAATTTATAAACTTTATTGCTTTCAGACTCTTAAATTGATTTGAATACATTTATCTTTGATGTTAAGACTAGTAGAGAGTTTGCTTAGGTGTTGTTTCACAGTGGGGATTTGCCGGTTGCCGGAGGTGCTGATGGTAAAGGTGGCAGTGATGTGGTGGCTCTGCAGAGTTTCCGCAGGGGTGACACCGAGTTCTCCCTGGGCTTGGTGCTGCTCACCCCGGGGGTGTCACTGTGCCTTGGAGGGCACCTTGGCCGGCAGAGGCTTTGCCCTCCGCCTCGCTGGCAGGGGGTGATGGTGGCCAGAACGTGGTGCTGCTCCTGCTGCCTTGCTTCCCTGCCCGGCCGCTTGTGGAGAAGTAGCGCGCGCTTTGAATTAGTACCTAACGTGTGGAAGTTTGCTGTAAGTATTTTGATATTACAAGGGCTTTTTTCTTTCTAGTCCCTGTTATGTAGGTAAAAATAGACAAATTTGACATGGAAGTCCTACTCTCAGCTTGATATTTTACCTAAAATGGTTAGCTACTGGATGGGGACCAGTTAAACCAAGTATCAGCCTATTTCAGGGGATTACATCTCCCTAAATAATGTTTTTCTTGTAGTCTTGGATTGTCACAACTACAATGTTTGTGCTGATGCAGTGAAGCCTTTTTAAACGAGACAACTTTTGCTGTAATTGCATTGAAAACTTTTCAGCTAGCCTTACTCTAGGCGCTGCCAGTAATAATAATGATAAATGTAAAACTCCATATCACTATCTTAATACTTCAAAAAAAAAGAAACTTAAAAAAACAGTCTGAAAACATCTGTATCCTCTTAGTTGATTCAGTGTTTGATTAAAAATTTAAGTTGCTGTAGGTTTCAGTGTGTTTGACACACGATTTGACTACGTGAGAGTCAGTGCTGTCATGGGTAGTTTTAAAACTACTTTAAATTATTTGTTCTGAGTGTTAAGCAATCAGTCCACATTATCATTTCCATCTCCCAAAAGTATTAGAGCAAGTGCTCCTCCCTTCAGTTGATATATTTTTACGAAGGAGGGGAGAATTCCCACTAGCCTGCCTTATAAACCTACGCTGGCTCACCTAGTACAAGAGTCCCAACTGGCAAGAGGGGGGAAGGCTTTTGACGTACTCTAAGTGCTGCTGCGGGTCCGAATCCAGCGTTCCGTGAGCAGCCGTTTGTGCTGGGGGCCAAGGTCAGGCTTGCTGAATGGCCCAGGACTCATTTAAACATTTTTGCTACAGGAAGCTATATTAAAGAATTAAAAGCTATATAAGAATAGTATTGGCCACAGTGCTGGTCTAGAAATGTATTAATAGTTTCTCTGAACTTGCTTTCCTGTTTTTCAGGAAAAAAAACTATTTGATAGTAGCACGCTTAAAGAACCGCAGTGAGTTTCCTGGGTGAAGGAGGCAGAGAAAATATTTCTGTTTTCTAGAAATAGTGAAATGTAATCCAGCTATTCCACAAGAGCTGGGGCTCCTTCTCCCCATGGTTATGGTAGTCCAAATGCTTTAGGCTGTATTTTAGGAAAATTATCTGCTTCCTATTGATTCCCCTGCAGACAGGCAAACTGGTCCCTACCAGGAGGAACAGTAGTCACCAAGAAATGAATGCAAAGGGTTGCATTTTTGTAGACATGGCCTTTCCAAATGTAGGGACAGATGGGATATTACTTTCCTTTTGTATGCTTCTTTGCTTATTATACCATACTTTAAAGAAGGAAAAGATGACAGCTGCCACTCTTTACTGGGATAATTTTCCCCATCAGTTTGACATCTTCAGCTAGGATCCTTGGCTTATGCCTAGAGGTGAAATCCCATCTCATAGTTTGTGAAAATACCATTGCTGCCTATTATGCAGCCATAAGTCTACCAGATTTTGCAGAATAAATGTGTGCTTGTTTTTAAGTTCTACTTTCTTATCAGGTTAGTATCGTTTTACTTACCACCTTCTGCTAATTTGGCAGAGTTAAATGAAGCTTTTAATGAGTGATTATATTGAGTAGTTATAAGCACGGTTGGACTAAGCAGTATTTACTTGCTTCGTGAGTTAGCTGAGGCTATGCTTAATGAAGTGAGCTGTGAGCTAGATGGGCAAGCTGTTTCCAGGCTTCATTACAGTAAATTTATTGTCATAGTACCATTTCCTCTTCAGATACTACCCCCTTTCCAGGTAACTGAGAGAAGGGACGTGCCTGGTCTGACCTGGCTGTGCGCAGGACGGGTTGGTGCGGTGGCATCGCGCGGAGTTGTGGGCATCCCTCTGTCAGGTCAAACATGGTGTTTGGCTCTGCACGTCGCCAACTGCAGATGTGCTGTAAATGTTTGCATGTACGTAGCTCATTAAAAAATCTTCCAATGTATGTCTCGACTGAGAACAAAATAGTATATTTGGTCCATACTTTGGTAAATATCTGCATTATTAGACATGTGACTAAATATCTGCAATATTGCACTGTAACAGCAGTGCTATGTAGATACGACATAAAATTACAAATATCGTAGAGGTCCGTAGGGGTTTTCATCTCGCACTGTTTAGAAGGTTACTACTTAACCTGACTCAGTGGAAAAGTCTCATTTCTTTAACTTGATAGTTAACTTTCAAAAACGTGGTTACACTTTTTGGTAATGTTTCTTCTGCTTTGCCTGTTCAGGTGTCTGTCTCACTTCTAACAGTTCTAGGAATATGTATTAGTCATCAAAAGGGGGTTGAGAAGATAATGATGTCTTGTGCAGGGTAACAGTTAGCGTTTTCTTAGCAGTTGCAGAAAGTAATTGCAAGGTGAAGTAATTGCAAGCCACACTCAAAGTTGCTGAAGTACCAAAATTGGTGAAATATCAAAGGTGCAGTTGATGTAGCAAACTTGTCATTAAAGGTCAGATAAAAAGGTTCAGACTGCACATGCTTTCTCAGCACTTGAGTCTTTGCTTTCAAATTTTGAGTCATGCTCAGATTAAGAAACCTAAGAAAGTATCTTTATGAACCCTACATCACACCCCTGCTTCACACAGGTAAGTAAATTAATCAGGAAAGCAGCAGCATTGGAAACCTCACTCTTGCAGCATGCAAAACTAAAGTGCTTCTTCAACCTGCTCAATCTTCAGTGAGACAGAGCGGCTCTGAGAGCAGAACTTGCAAAGAAACAGAAAAACTGCTGGACATGCAGAACCCGCCCTGTGAATGGGGAAGGAATGACCAGATGTGACAGTTGTTAGTCACAGTTGTTAATTGTGTGATGAGAAGATGCTCTGATGTATCATGAAAACAGATGGAATTTAGGTGCTGTATCTTCTTCCTTTGCTCTTCTCTCACAGCACCTTTTTCATTCTTCATATGCTCTAAAAATGCATGCATTTGTTGGGTTTTGCCCTTGTTTGCTTGTGAAGCTCTTCAGAAGCATTTAAAACCATGAGAATACCCACAGTCAGATTTCTGATACCTATGAAATGCATAGAAGAGGGAGCATTCCCTTCCACAAGAAGCTGATTGAGTTGGTCCTTCAGGTTTTAATTCTTTCCTGTGGATGCTAAAAATAAAACAAAATTTGTAAAATTACGTTATTGGAAAGGTTGGAAGATGCTGAAAATGTATAAAACAATTTTGTTCTTATTTGTTCTGTTGTGGTGGGGGGGTCCTCGTCATGCATGAAGGATCCTGTTATTTTGGCTGGCAGTATTACGCAGAAATTGCGTGCTCCTGGAAGGTTCTTTTATATGTATAAATAGCTGAATTAGTATAGATAATGCTTAGTAAGTGTATGTGGAATTAATCTTACAACATAAGCATTAAAGGAATAAACTGGATAATTCTGTGATTTAAGATGATAGCTGCTTTCAGAATAACTATTATTTTTTGGCTTTAGATTGTTCCCCCCACAGATATCAAACAAAGTTATAGAAATTTCCAGGATTTTAAAAGGAGAACTGAATTGCAAACACTGTAGGCCTACAATATATAGCTTTTTTCAGTATATTTTTCGCTCAATTAGTTTGAAGTGCATTAGCACGAAACTGTAGACTTTCTTTCTGTGGGTTGCAAGCAGGGTGTACCTAGCATTGCTGTTCCTGATGTGGTATAGAAAGCTGGACGTGATGCCCCGTGTACTGAGGAGAAGAGCTCCGAGGTAGGTCTGCGAGGGAGCGATGGCCGACGTGGCGGTGGCAGGTTGAGCAGCGACGGAGAGGCTGTCCGCTGGCATCAGTGCTGGTGTATGTTTGCTGCAAAGTGTTCCTGCCTTTTTTTAACTTGCGTACTTTAGCACATAAGGATTCCCATTTCTGACGAGACTTTGGTTGGTGTTGCTTCTTGATTAATTAATCCCGTGGTTTTGGGGGAGAAAGAAGAAAATGGGCAAAAATGCAGCTTGTTCCTGGTTCATGACGTTGCTGTTACTTAGTCACAACCCGATTTAGTTCTTTTTTCCCCGATCAAGTATTTGTAGTACTTGATCATTTCTGATACCAGAAGCATCCACGATCAGTCCCATATCCCATGCTATTTGTAGGGATGTTTTCCTTACCTAAAAACTGTTACTTTGTAGCAAACAGTGGGAAAAGAAACCTGAAGACTTTTTCCACTTCAGAGGCTCCATCCATGGAGAGAACAGATTATAAGTGATCTGTTTGTTTATGACACAAAATGTGATGTATTTAAGCAACTTTGATAGAAATATGGTATCTTTTATGTTTTTTATGTTTACAAAATTGAGCAAACGTTCCACGTGAGAAATATGTGTGTTTTCGTAAAGGATCCTTTGAGAAGGAAGGAAAAGATATCCTCGTGAAGAGGCGATGTTTTTCCCATGCAGGCAAATTCCATGCACGCGTTTATGATGGTTTCGTATGATTTATCAATAGGGATTATGACACTTCAGTTTTGTGTAGGACGTCTACATAAAATATGTTCAAGGTGAAATTTTAGAAGGTCTTAGCCTGCCTACATCATCCAAAATGTTCTGTTCAGTGACAGATTTTTCTCTGAGAAGTTGTAGCATCACAAAACACTGTTTCCATGTGTTTGTGTTTGCTTGCAGGTGAATCGATTCTGAAACCTGCTTTGTGGCTTACCCTAAATAAAGATGAGACTTAAGTCCTCCCTTTCCAGTGGAGTTTTCAGTTTTAGGCGTAATAGGGCCAGGATTAGCAACTGAAATTATCGTTGAAGCTGGCTTCATTTTTATGTATTCATTTCTGTGGAAGCAGCCTAAAATATAGCTTTTTAAAATACATATCTAGTCACACATATAGAAGTCTGTCATGCTGTTCAAGAGTTTTTCCTCTTCATGAATTAAATCAGTTTAATTTCACAGTTACCTCATTTGTTTGTAGAGTGTTTCTGGAAACTTACTGTTGGTAGTGTCCTTACTAAGGAAAACATGGCAACACTTGACGGTAGATCTGCAGTTTGAATTGTTTAAGAGAGTATTTTTCTTTGTAAAATAATAAATGTTTAATAATAAATATTTCTACAGCTGTTCAGCTAGGGCATGTTGCAGAATGGCAGGATCGATGACCACGCCGTCAGTCTCCTGTCGGGCAGCAGCAGCCACAGCGGCAGGGGAAGGGGGGGGGAAGCACGAAAGGTGTGAGCAATGCTTTCCACCCACACCTTGTTTATAGGTGTTAACTTCAAAGCTTTGCTGGGACTGTTTAATTGCTAACATAATAAACCAAAAGGAGCTTAACTAAAGAACCTAGTTATTTTTTTTAATTGTATTTATGCTCGGTTCCCCTTCTTGACCTTTTTGTTGACTTACACCTATATAGATATTTCTGCTTGCTGTCTGGTCTGAAATGTTTTCCGTGACACACAATGTGCAAATATTCCCTTTATTTCTCAATACTTGCTCCTCTGTAGTAACTGAAATGGAGATTGTGACTAATGTGCAACGAGTAGTTGCAGATATCACCTTACAGGTTGGCTGTGTGGGAGTCATGCAGCTTGTCCTTTATCCTTCAAACTAAGCAGAGAGCTTAGCAGCATCTATACTATGACTAGTCTGTACAGAGAAGTTTTAGTTCTTTTCTATGAAAAAAAATCCAAACCCACTGTTGGTTTGGTTCCACGTGGAGTAAGCATTAGCTGTTGTAGAGGTGTTCCTCTAGTACCAAAGCTGCAAGCAGTTGCAGAAGTTGGGGAAGCATCTTGCTGGAAGTAAACAAAAAGTGGGATTTTGACTGCTGCTGTTGGAAGTGTCGTATTGGATCTAGCTTGTGATTAGAGAGATTTAGTCTCACACTCCCAAGAAACAATGGACTTTTAAAAATACCAAAAGCAAACCTTATGTCGGTTTTTGCCTACAAGGTACAGGAGAGGTTTTATGACTGCGAGATGATATCCCCTGCTGCAGCAGCGGGTGTAACGTTTTTTCAATGCAGAGCTGGGGCAAGGGGTGCCTTCTGTAGGAGATGCTGCCCGCTGGGACGGAGCGTGACAGGCATGCAAGCACAACCACACGCCCTGGCCCCGCTGTGGCAGCGCCTCAGCCATGGTGGGTGGTCACGGCAGAAGGCAACTCTGGAATTAATACTCCCTCCAGAAGGCTTGTCTCTTAATAGAGCCTGTTTTTTACAAGGGAGGGAGCGTTTTGCCATCCTTAGGTTTTGGATAAGAAAATGCAAAGAAGGACAATAACTTTTCAAGGTCACTTCAGCTTGTCAGAGAGAAAGTTGGCATTTTACTGAATGGGCTCTGGTATTGAGAGGTAGTAAAGCAGTGGCTGCATAGGGCTGTGAATAAGTGGAAGGAATTCGTATACCTGAAATACCAGAAAACTAAGATAACGCGGTCAGTGGCGAAGTCTCTTTCCAAACAGATTTTACCTTTGCTGAAATCACTGTGTCCTGTGACTTGGAGAGATAAGAGCCATCAAATAACCCTCTGTGTGCACCAGCCCTGGTGTCTCTCCTCTGGTGTAAGCGTTTCTGCTGAGCACAAAAACCCGCCAGGTCCCGCTCTGCCCAGCAGAGCCAAAAGGGAAGGCTTCCCCCACAGGGTAGAGGAGTGTTTTGGGAGAGGGAGCTCCGAGTGCCTGGGGGATCCCAGCACCACGAAACCAAACTGGGAGGGGGCGCAGGGCTCTGTCCTGTGGGAAGGGTGTGGCATCCTACCCTGCTGTCCAGGCACCCACAAGAGGTTTGCTGTGAATTTGGGGGGCGTGCTGATGAACAGGGTTGTCTGCACTTTAAGAATGAATTTTGGGCCTGAAATGGTGCTGTAAAAGACAGGCTTGAGCAGTCTTCCCTTAAGCATGAAGGAAGATGAAGATGAGTGAGAACAGCAGGCACTGTGCTCTGTGTTTGATATCGATATTAAGAAGTGCATCTCTTTAATGTGGCAGTACACTGGTATTTTTATAGGTGTGCCCATCATTTCAATAGGAGACTATTCTTGTTGCATAAACATGATACCAAATCTATAAGATAACATCCTATTGCCTGTGAAACACAAGCAACCACTGACAGCTGCACAACCTGTATAACCCAGATTCGTAAGTGACAATATGGACAAAAACGTATTTCTTTGGGAAAGGAAATTAATAAAATAGGCCAGGACTCTATTTTTCCTGACTTGATGGAGTTTTGCATAGTGGCATTTATGATAGAGTGGCTTAGAATAGCACAGAATGAGATCAAAGAAACTCAGTTTGTACAGTGGTATTTTTGATGTTACAAATTAGAAAGTTATTTATGAGTCCTCGGGGAAGGAAAAAAGAGCAGCACAATGAAGCAGCCAGTACAACAAATTTCAGAAATGTTCCAACACTTTTATTTACAGAGATAATGCCTGACTCGATTGCTAGATAACAGAAGCTGGAGATTATTCATTTGTGTTTCAGGATTTGAGATTAGTAAAATTTTGCAAATAAACATTGCATGGTACAAAATAAATCGTATCCATAAAAGAAGAGGGTATGTTGCTTTGCCTGATGTTATCTCACTTAATGATTTCAGTGCTTTTTTTTTTTGCTTCTGAAATTATGCCCTAGAATTGATGAGAATATAGCAGGCTTGAAGGGTAGCTTTCCTCTGGGGCAAAAATGTACTTGTTAAAAGCACACCACAAACAACAACTCAGATTAGTTTGTTGCCCAAATAAGCAATAAATATTTAAGATGTTGGAAGGTTTCCGTAAGTTTCAGAATAAAAGTATGCTTGTGCTACTGAATTAAAATGTTTTGCAGCAGAGGAGATGCACTGTAGTGATGGGGAATGTTGGACTTTTCCTACGTTGTTGCAATCTAAAGACTGAATGTTTTGCAAACTTGGTTTTTATTTGTAAGTTACTGGAAAAAATATATTGGAAATATATTTTAGAAATATAGCTTGGAAAATCAGAAGTAACCTGTATGAATTCGGGCTTCAATTCTGAAAAAAAATACCCTAAATATACAAACGCTTCTCTGAGCAGAAATGAGCATCATCACTCTGACAAGAGCAGTTAAAAAAAAAAAAGTGGCCCCTGGGGGGAGGGAGAGGTGGGGAATCTGAGATTACTGTGAGTTCTCTTTCTTTTTTCTTTCTTTCTTCCCTCCCCTCCTCTCCTTCTTTAGCCCCCTACCCCCACCCCCATTTTCCACTCGCAAGCCTTCACACCAACTTCCTTGCCCACCAGGTAACTGGTGGGTACCTGTCTGTGTAAATGAGTTTGCAAGATACTCCAGGAAAACGAGAGTGTTTCAGATGATCCCTTGTTTCTTGGTGAACTCTCTACGACGTTTTCTGGACTTTGTGATGTTTTGAATCCTGGTACTTTTGTCTGAGCCTGAATATGGTTATTATCATTAATTGTGTTGAGCAGACCAGTGACAATTAATGCTGCTGTCTTTTGTAGATTTATGCAGTAATGAAATATGGTTAAAGAAAAGTGATATGAGTGGGAAGTCAAAGACTGAACATAAAAGCCAGAATCAGGGCTTAAATATAGTCCTTCAAGCCTATATTTAATCTTCTGGATCATATAGGTATTAAGATGCAGCCTTTAATTACTTGATCATAGTCTCCCCCAAGTCACTACTCGGAAAAGGTGATTCTGCCTAAAAAGCAGTTGCTCAGTGTTCTGAGTTGCCTTCATTTTCTTTGCGTGGCTCCCTATGTTATTTTTATGTCAAGACTTTTAGTCTTCCTTTTCAAAGAAATGCATTAATTTCAACATTGACTTTGCTA